ATGATTTGACTAAAAAAGGCCAGAAGTTTGAATGGACAGTTCCTTGCCATCATGCTTTCAAGACATTGAAAGAAAAATTGGCCTCCACTCCGCTTTTAAAGCTTCTAGATCCCTTACTGCCGTACATACTGGACTGTGATGCTAGTAATGTCGGAATTGGAGGAGTGTTGTCTCAGAAAGTGGACGAAAACGAACATGTGAAGGCCTACTTCAGTAGGGTTTAAAGTAGACCAGAGAGGAACTACTGTGTAACACGGAGGGAACACCTTGCTATAGTAAAGAGTCTGGCATATTTCCATCCTTACCTCTATGGTGCAAGGTTTACTATTAGGACAGACCATGCTGCATTACACTGGTTAAGATCATTAAAGAACCCAGAGGGACAACTGGCACGTTGGATTGGAAAGATAGACCAGTATAATTATGATATTGAATACAGAGAGGGAAAATCTCATGGTAATGCCGATGGACTGAGCCGAAGACCCTGCAGAAGAGCTGCAGACATTGCTGCAAAAGAGAGGTTGAACTAACCAGGTGCCATCAAGCTGAAGTCAAAGTGACTGAAGAAGTTGATGACGGTGAAATGGAACCAGGTATAGATATTAAATTAGAGTAGGAGAAAGACCAAGACTTGAAACCAATAATTGATTTTCTACAAGCAAGGGTTTTGCGCCCTGCTTGGGAGAAGGTGTCTAGCTTAAGCCTTGTGACAAAGAACTATTGGGCACAATGGGACCAGTTGAAGCTTGAAGATGGTATTCTTCTTCGGAGATGGGAAACTGCAGATGGGAAAGTGACGACTTGGCAAACGGTTATACCGAGAAAGTTCCGGGTAGTTGTGCTGGGTCAATCCCATGATAGTTTAACAGGAGGACATCTCGGAGTTAAGAAAACATTGAGTTACCTCTGACAGAGATTTTACTGGATAGGTATGAGGCAAGATGTGGAAGAATGGTGCAGAACATGCAGTACATGTTGTGCTAAAAGGGGACCTCAAGCATAAGGGACGTGCTCCAATGAAGTTGTATCAAGTTGGTGCACCAATGGAAAGGGTAGCCATTGACATTGCTGGTCCTTTGCCTCAAACTCGTGCTGAAAACAAGTACATTTGTGTGGTGATGGATTATTTCACCAAGTGTCCTGAGGCATATGAAATACCAAATCAGGAAGCTACAACTGTAGCTTCGGCTATTAGTGATTTCTTCTTTAGATTTGGTATGCCACATGAACTGCATTCAGATCAAGGCCATAACTTCGAATCAGCTGTGTTCCAAGAATGCTGCAAGTTGTTTGGCATCCGAAATACCAGGACAACGCCACTTCACCCACAGTCTGATAGGATGGTAGAAAAGTACAACTGGACACTGGGACAGGAGTTGGCAAAGTTTCCTAAGTTGTCTTCTCCATGGGAAGACCCATATGACATAGTGGATCGTCTCTCAGACGTGACTTTCCAGATGAAATGTGGTTGGCGAGGAAGCCAAAGGTGGTGCATGCGAACAGGCTTTGGCGTTATCACGGTCCAGGACATTTCAGTTGGGATGAAGTGAACAATGGAACAACTGACGCTGCTGAAGACGTGTCACCTGAAAAAGCCACTGCCGAAGAAGAAACTCTACTCGGTTTTGAGAAGGGAAACAGTGAAGCCCTTGATGAAGTTACCACCACTGATGTGGCTGTTACCAATGATAGGACGTTTCCTGATGTAGCAGATGAACTCCACATGAAGCAGAAGCCAACGAGACGGAGACCAGTACGGAAGAAGATACGTCCCGTAAAATTAAGAGACTTTGTTGAATTCTAATTTTGTGTTTGTAAATTCTGTACATTTAATTAAGTTATTGTTAATTGTTTATTGGAAATTCACTTAATTTCCACAGTCACGCTATAACTTAAACAAACGCTATAATTCACAACGAACAATTCACGCGCTTTACTCGATTGTCAGTCTCTATCTCTGTCTGCAATTCAATTCCATTGTTGCCGTCACTTCTTGGCGGTCTTATATACAAAAATACCGCACATCTAGTATACAATCGAGCATTCAAGAACTTTCAAGAATACCATGACGTGTTACTAGCGTCACGTGATATCCGCTGTCGTAACACTGCCCCTTCCTTAGTATTGTTCGTCCCGAACAATAGCCACTTACATTAAGATAAAACTAGTTTATTCTTTCTCAATACAACTTTGTTAAGAAAGGACTTGTATCGCTAAAGTTTCTTCGGAAATAATTTTTACGGGAGATTAACAAACGACCAGAGGCGTAACAATACCAAAAACAAAATGGATGTTATTTTCAAAATCTCTAAAATTACGCAGAAACCCCCCGAAGTTATACCTGAATGGAGCTCTTCTAGATATCAACCCATTAACAAAATTTTTAGGCCTTACATATGATTCCAAATTAAATTGGAAAAAAACACATATCCGAAATTACACAAAAAGTATGACAACGAGCAAAGTAT